TTATTCAATGTTTACAAAAATAATCACTTTCCCTGGATGGGAACTGTCTCAACAGGGCTTGCCTTGAAATCACCCTACAGTCAAGTAAGACAAAGATATAACAAGTACAAAGTGCAAGACAATTTAAGATTTAAAACAGTGTTTTACGAACTAGGGGTGGTGGAAGAGGAGGAGGGCAGGGGGGTGGGGGTGAATGGGTGACGGGCACTGAGGGGGGCACTTGACGGGATGAGCACTGGGTGTTATTCTGTATGTTGGTAAATTAAACACCAATAAAAAATAAATTTATTTAAAAAAAATAAAATAAAACAGTGTTTTAGAATCCCTTTTGAGTTACTAGCACACTTATGAAATACAAAATTCTGGACATCATCCCAAAAGGGATTATTAAAATGCAAATATTTGTTTTTTTAAAAGATCGACCTGGAACCTTGAAAGAACTAATTATCACACTTTGCATTTGGTCACTCTTTGTGTGGCTGTACAACAAAGTTTACTGCTCCAAGTAGGCTCTCCACAAGGCCAAGATTCCCCTTTGTTTCAGTACACATTCTCTCCAAGTATCATTAAATTACTGACATTAAATTATTTCTCTTAGCTGCAGCAAGTTTTATTCTCCTAAGCAATGCATCATGTGGCCACCACTAAGTTCAAACTCCATTTGAAAACATCACTATGAATTCACACTATGATTCACAATACGAATCCGAAAATACATTTTATATCCTACTCAAAATGTAGCACTCCTGTGAAAGAAAAGTCATACATATTAAGAAATACTCTCTAATGCCTGAACACTACTCCTCCTGCCCCATCTAAAGGGCAAGGCTTTGTGGGGATAAGGCAGCAAGCATGGAAAGTAAACACCTATATTCAACTCCAGGTTTGCTACTTACTGGAAGACCTTACTGCAAAGCCTGTTTCCTTACCTGTGAAATGACAATATCTACCTTACAAGGTTGTTGTGAAAATAAAAAGCATCTGTAACTGTTTTATAAACAAATTTGCTATACAAATTTAAGTTATTATTATCATTCTGCCTCTGTATTTATTCGAAATGGTTTCAAGGAGCTGGTAATACAACATTAAGAATGTCATTTTGTACACGTGAAACTAATATAACGTGTGTCATCCACTATACTTCAATTCTTTTTTTAAATGTTATTTTGTTCACATGGTCACCAAAAATTTTGAGTTAACCTCAAGTCAATGAAAAGCACCATCTCGCTCCTTCGGATAAAAAAACAAGCAAAGCAGGTTAACAGGCATATAAGCAAAGGTAGAAATGAAGAACTGTGTACAACCACATAAACGGGGCATAGTTACTTTATATCATTATTTGGACTGAAAACTAAAATCAAAGTTTTCCAATGGAGACCAAGAGGTCAAATAGCCATGGTATAATCAAAACTAAACACAATCTATAGCCAGTTCAGAAAGCTCAATAATCTTCAAAGTGTTTTCCTACATTAATTCTCAAGGCATCCCTAAGATGAAAGAAATTTAAGTCTCTGAGTGCCTGGGTAGCTCACTGGTTGAGCCTCTGCCTTGGGCCCAGGGTGTGATCCTGGAGTCCTGGGATCGAGTCCCAAATCAGGCTCCCCTGCTTCTCCCTCTGCCTGCGTGTCTGCCTCTCTCTCTCTGTCTCTCGTGAATAAATAAATAAAATCTTGGGGATCCCTGGGTGGCGCAGCGGTTTGGCGCCTGCCTTTGGCCCAGGGCGCGATCCTGGAGACCCGGGATCGAATCCCACGTCAGGCTCCCCGGTGCATGGAGCCTGCTTCTCCCTCTGCCTGTGTCTCTGCCTCTCTCTCTCTGACTATCATAAATAAATAAAAATTTAAAATAAAAAAATAAAATCTTAAAAAAAAAAATTTAAGTCTCATATCCCAGTTACTTACATAACCACAGGAAAAATCTGAATGGATCAAGATTTCTCTTTCTTTCTTTCTTTCTTTCTTTCTTTCTTTCTTTCTTTCTTTCTTCCTTTCTCTCTCTCTCTCTCTCTCTCTCTCTCTCTCTCTCTCTCTCTCTCTCTCTTTCTTTTTTTAGATTTTAAAGCAGAGGGATAAGCAGGCTCCATGCAGGGAGCCCAATGTGGGACTCGATCCCGGGACTGGGATCATGCCCTGGGCTGAAGGCGGCGCTAAACCGCTGAGCCACCCAGGCTACCCTGGATCAAGATTTCAATAAGGCAAGTCAACAAATCTTTCATCAAATATTAAGTAAGGTCCACCATATCACCAGTATGGCACGGTGTCCCACTGATATGACCTATTTTACAGCCAACAAAACCTCTAGCGACCTCAACCTTATAGTACACAAACTACGAGTAAAGAAACACTTCTGAGAAATGAATAATAGCTATTACAACACTGTATACAATCAGAACCCACTTTAAAAATAAATGTAAAACTAAAATGATTTACTGAGAACACTCTCCTGACATGGACGATGTTTGGTATATGAGGAAAATGGGGAACAGGGAATAGTGGTGTGTTATTTTAAATAGGATGATCGGAGAAGGCCTCAGTAAGGTGACATGTGAATAAAGAGAGAAAGTGAGCCACATGGTTAAATAAGTTCCACCAGGCAGAGGTAGTAAGTGCAAGAATCCTGAAGCAGGGTCACATCTGTGGCACTCTCCACCCACCCAGTAGACTTTCCCCTTGAATGTCCTGCTGCCACTCCCACTGTGCTCTACAAAATCTTCCTGATGTCCAGGCTCACCATACTCTCCCAGGCATGCAAACCTGAATCCCAAGTCACATTGTGTGTATTCTTTCAGGAATCAGTGACCAACTCACTTTAACATAATAATACCTTCGAAAATATTACATCTTGGGGCGCCTGGGTGGCTCAGTCACTTAAGTGTCTGACTCTTGATTTCACCTCAGGTCATGATCTTAGGGTTCTGGGATCAAGCCCCACAGTGGGCTCCACACTCAGTGAGGAGTCTACTTGAGATTCTCTCTCTCCCTCCCACCCCCACTCAAGAGTGTGTGCTTTCTCAAATAAATAAGTCTTTAAAAAAAAAAAAAAAGTTACGGGGGCAGCCCAGGTGGCTCAGCAGTTTAGCACTGCCTTCAGTCCAGGCGGGATCCTGGAGACCCAGGATCGAGTCCCACATCAGGCTCCCTGCATGGAGCCTGCTTCTCCCTCTGTGTCTCTGCCTCTCCCTCTCTCTCTCTCATAAATAAATAAAAATCTTAAAAAAAAAAAAAGTTACATCTTTCCCTTCCCCTGCATTCCTAACACCCACTCCCAAATCCAATTCATTACGCATACTGTTCACAAAGGAATGCTTCTTACACAGTCTTCATCACATTACTCATCCCCGATTCCATCCACAGTATCTACAATACCTAATGAACACCCTTCTTTCACTACCCTACATACACACTATGCCCACTTCACCTTCTAAATCTTCATTTGTGTTCCTTTCACATAACGCCTTTTCCTTCTCTTATCCGTCCAAACTTCTCACCCATCTTTCAAGTCCCTTTTCAGAGAGCTTTCCATGACTGACTACACCAGTCTTCACTGATTTCTCCCATCTCAGAAATTGTATGGCTTGCTATAAAAGCTGACTTGTAGGGCAGCCTGGGTGGCTCAGCGGTTTAGTGCCTGCCTTCGGCCCAGGGCGTGATCCTGGACTCCCAGGATCGAGTCCCACGTCGGGCTCCCTGCATGGAGCCTGCTTCTCCCTCTGCCTGTGTCTCTGCCTCTCTCTGCCCCCCCCCTCTCTCTGTCTCATTAATAAATAAATAAAATCTTAAAAAAAAAAAAAAAAAAAAAAAGAGGGATCCCTGGGTGGCTCAGTGGTTTAGCACCCGCCTTTGGGCCCGGGCATGATCCTGGAGTCCTGGGATCAAGTCCCACATCGGGCTTCCTGCATGGAGCCTGCTTCTCCCTCTGCCTTTGTCTCTGCCTCTCAATCTCTCTGTCTCTCATGAATAAATTAAATCTTTTAAAATTTTTAAAAATAAAAAAATTTAAAAAAAAAAAGAGCTAAAAAAGGTAGAAACCATGCCGCGGAGGTTTACAGGGTGTAGCGTGAGGGGAAGGAATGCCCCTCCTCGCTTTAATACCCATCAGGTAGGTGCCGGACTCAGGGCCAGGCATTTCATATCAAGCACCTATATACTCTGTAAAAACCCATTAACTGCAAACTATCTTCAACAAATAGGGTTCCTCCATCAACGATTTACCCAAAATGTCACCCACTCTCACCGCGAGCACAAATGCACCCAGGTGCTGCGGGTACTACACTCCCTTCTCGGCTTCCCTCTAACTCAAGGAAGAGGACAAAGCGGCCTGACTCCCAGCGGCCAACAGGTTAAACATCTCAATAAACCCTTTACCAAGTGCCTGGCCCTGGCCTTCCTCAGGACCCTGCTCTTCATTTGAAAACTCCTGCTCTCACCTATCGAGCCCCAAGCCCTGTGAAGGAGGTGGCATTCCCCGTCCCACTTTACAGAGGCGTTTAAGCTCACGTGGCCGACGGCAGATTCGGAACTAGAACGCAGGTCTCCTGAACATCCATGCACCCTGTCCCATTTCCCGCACGAGTCACTCACAGATGGGGCCCGACGGACACCCGCGTCGCAAAAGCTCTGCAAAGATTTTCATTCAACAGGTTATTTCCTGGACGCTCGTCAGCCTTGTAGGTTCAAGCGCCACCTCCTCGCGTACTCGCTCTGCGCCACGGGAAGTCCCTCTCCCTAGGCGAATTCCCTCAGCCGTCACCCGAGACAGTTACCTACCAACAGCAACGTCGTGAGGCGTGACGGGGAGGAGGGCTGACTCGATCGCCGGGCACTACGTCTGGCACATGGTGGGCATCTCCAGTCATGACGGGTTCCCTTCACTTACCCACTCCGCCCCACAAGCCTCGGGGTTCACCCACTCCCACCAGGCGACAGGGCATCCGCTCGACCTGAGGCGCCTGCAAATGGCCTCCGGGTTCCTCAGGCCCGGCGCTCGCCGCACCGTCATACCTGCATGGAGTCGGCGCTGACGATTTCGCCGCCGAGCCGCTGGCCTAGCTGCAACGCCAGGGTGGATTTGCCCGTGCCGGTGGCCCCGAGAATCACTACGAGAGGCAGCGTCCGCGGCAAGCCCCGGAGCCCAGAGCCCACAGAAACCGCTCGTGCAGCCGCCGCCGCCGCCATCTTGAAGACATCTGCGCTTGCGCGGAGCAGCTGTCCCCATGGCAACCGGTAGTGCGCCGGCGCACCCCTAAGGCTCTGTGGGGGAGGGGAGGAGAGGAGAGGTGGGGGGAGCGAGACCTAGGTTTCCAAGCTTGAGAGGTTCCCGACTAGCTGGTGTCAGAGCCTCAACTGTCACCTCTCTCTCTCTCTCTCTCTCTCTCTCTCTCTCTCTCTCTCTCTCTCTTTCTTTTAAGCAACTGATAATCAATGTATTCAAAAGATTGATTTTTTTCTTAAGATTTTATTTATTTATTCATGAGAGACACAGAAAAGAGAGAGATTGGCAGAGACCCAGGCAGAGGGAGAAGCAGGCTCCATGCAAGGAGCCCGACGCGGGATTCGATCCCGGGTCTCCAGGATCGCGCCCTGGGCCGAAGGCGGCGCTACACCGCTGAGCCACCTGGGCTGCCCGAAATGATTTTTAAGCTATCTCCTCCTAAATGCCGAGCGGCAATTCTATCTCAAATCACTCTCAGTTCTTTTCTTCATGCCATTAATTACAATATAAAATTATATACTGATGTCTTGTGCATTGTCTGACTTCCGCCCCAGGCTGGTAGTTCCATAAAGGCAAGGAACAGGTTCTACCCAGCCATTGCTGAATCTCCAGTGCCTAGCAGAGCATCCGATGGGGAAAAGACACCCAATATTGTTAAACGGAGAGGAGAATGGTTTCCCTACCTAGCGCTGGAGCCAGTGAGCTAGAGGCGTGGTGTTTTCCAGGATCAGATCTGCCCAGTTCTCAGGCATGGGCAGCCGCTCTAATGTTTTTATCCCAAAACGCAAACCCAGACATAATCAGAAGGCAGGACAAAATCTTCCATCTCTTTAGTGAAAGGATGCAAGAGATGGGTTGAAAACAGAGAAAAGTAAACAACCCGCAAAATAAGAGGGAAAATAAGGAAGGCAGAAAGGATAAAGGAGTGGTAACCCTCAGATTAAAGTACAGATCAGAGGCCTGAAATTCAGGAAACCCCACAACCTTTAAGAAAGGGCTTTGAAATCAGAGACCTGGGTTCAAATCCTAGATCTGCTACTTATCAGCTGCTGCATGACCTCACACAATTAACTTTACCACTTAGCCTCACTTTTATCATTAATACCTCTCAGGATCGTCATAAGGATAAAATTCAAAAAAAAAAAAAAATACCTGTAGGGCACCTGGGTGGCTCAGTGGTTGAGCATCTATCTGCCTTTGGCTCAGGGCATGATCCTGGGGTCCCACATCAGTTTCCCTGCATGGAGCCTGCTTCTCCCTCTGCCTATGTCTCTGCCTTTCTCTGTGTCTCTCATGAATAAATAAAATCTTTAAAAAAAAAAGTACCTGCTACAATACATTAGCACAGAATGACTACCATTTGTTGAACACGTATTATTATAATGGTAACACCCCATCTGCCTCACTAAAGAGGTAAGAACAGCAGCCTAAGGGCAGAGAAATCTTCAGTACTGTGTAAAAGTACCCAAACATCTATTCTAGTAACCCCTTGTTAGCCAATTTAAGGGTTAATTTATTTCTCCCTGAGATTACTTGGCTGTGCCCAGCTCTCAGGTCATATCACTAGGATCCCTTGGGCCAGAGGAATTACCACTGGAGGTTTAGAGCATATGTAGGCCTGCCTGGAATAACTGCCAATACATTTCTCAATCGCTTGGATCACTGCTGGCATAATGGCCACTTCTGCAGCCTGAACCTTGTAGCCACATGTATTGTTTGGAGTACATCAGAACCCAGAGTACCCTGTACCTCCTTTTCTCAATCCAGTCTGCTCTGATCAAAAGCCTGTTCTCACCAATTTGTGGTACCCGCCTGGGGCTGGTTTTAAAATCGAGATGTGTGGCCATATATTGGCACACACTCTCACATGATGGTTGTTAACTGTAGAGCCTTTGCCTGGAGACTTTCAGAGGGTACAGTTACCATGACAACCACTAGAAAGATGGCAGGCAGGAGAAATGATGCAAATAAAGCAAAAGGGAGCTAATTTCATGATGACAATCTGACCATGACAGAGTATGCTCACTCACAGATAGGAAAGCACTGTCCAAGTCATGACCAGGTGACTGTTACTAGAGAGAGCAAAAAAGAGGGGAGTGGAATTTACCACTGAGAGACCCGAAGAGGGAGAAGCTGGTTACCAAGGCAACTGGGGAGAAAGGAATGAAAAAATGGGGCTTCACCACAGCAGCAGAAAATTGCTTCTAGCCAAGCAACACGGGACTGTTGCTATAGAAACAAAGAGAACAGGGATCCTATAGACCATGGGGAGAATTATCACTGAAATGCTGAGCAGGAAAGACTCCTAAATCAGAATGGAGCTCATGGTCCAAAACAAATCAGGAGAAATGAGAAAAACATCGTACCATTTCCATTTGTTTTAATTCTACCAATCCTGCCAAAAGAGAATGGGACCATATTTTTAAAATACCTTTAGGCTATTTCATTTGTACCTGTTTGTCTCCTAATGGTCTTCTGAACTCTAAATTATACTAATAGTTCCATTCAAGATAATTTGTAACTTGAAATCCTAATTGGTGAGTTTAAACTCAAGGGAAAATTGGGAAATGGAAGCCTATGATCAAGAATTAATAAGAATTTATTTTAAAACAATATAAAACTTTCAAATGGGAAGCTTTTCAGGGCAATAAGGAGACAAAAGGTGACAAAAGGAGTTGAGAAAGCTATTTGGAGGCACTTGGGTGGCTCAGTTGGTTGAGTGTCCCACTCTTGATTTCAGCTTATGTGATGATCTCAGGGTTGTGGGTTCAAGCCCCCGATCAGGTTCCTTGTTCAGCAGGGAGTCTGCTGGAGATTCTCTGTGACCCTCCCACCTTCCCTCCCTCTCTCTCTCTCTCTCAAATAAATAAATCATAAGAAAACAAAGAAAACAAAGCTATTTGTAGTCATGCCCAGATATTAGCCCTGACCCCACTTCCCCCCCCTTTTTTAAGATTTATTTATTCATGAAACACACACACACACACACACACACACACACACACACACACACAAAGAGGCAGAGACACAGGCAGAGGCAGAAGCAGGCTCCATGCAGGGAGCCCGATGTGGGACTTGATCCCGGGTCTTCAGGATCATGCCCTGAGCCAAAGACAGGCGCCAAACCGCTGAGCCACCCAGGGATCCCCCCACTTCCCCTTTTGTGAGGCCAAATAGCAAACAGCTCAATCTATTCTGAAAGATAACTCAAGAAGAAAGGGAGTCTTTCACTTAAAGTAAATTGTATATCTAGAGGTGGAAGATGAAGAAGCCCATTTCCCATACTCCACTGCTTATAGATTATTCGGGGTAAAGAAATTCTAATTGAAAAGGCAAAAATGCTGAGACAATTTCAGTTTCAGAAGAACATATCTAAAATGTAAGAATAAGGAAATAGGGATATTCAAACTTCTTGGAGGGTAATAATCCTTGGTCTCCCCTACTAAAGTCCCCAGCCAGCCACCTCATCATTATCCCCCGTGTGTGCATGTGTTGTACGGTGTCTGTCTGTAGGACAGATGTATAGTCAGGCTGGACAACCTCTGCACCTGCCTCACCTTCTTTAGAAAATTGAGAGCATGGGACACCTGGGGGGCTCAGCAGTTAAGCATCTGCCTTCAGCCCAGGGCATGACCCTGGAGTCCCGGGATTGAGTCCTACATCGGGCTCCCTGCATGGAGCCTGCTTCTCCCTCTGCCTGTGTCTTTGCCTCTCTGTGTCTCTCATGAATAAATAAATAAAATCTTTAAAAAAAAAAATTGAGAGCAGTACAGGGGGTGAAATAGGCATGGGAGCACGGCAAAAAAAAAAGAGGGAAGTGCAGAGAGGCAAAGGTGATATCTGGGTGATGACCCAGTGTTCATTCTATTATTTCCTGTCCTCTATTTTAAATAATTTATTTTAAAAAATTTCAGGGGCGCCTGGGTGGCTCAGTGGTTGAATGTCTGCCTTTGGCTCAAGTTGTGATTCCGGGGTCCTGGGATCGAGTCCCGCAGGGTTCCCTGCAGGGAGCCTGCTTCTTCCTCTCCTGTTCCCCCAACTTGTGCTCTCTCTCTATATCTCTGTCAAATAAATAAATAAAATCTTTTTTTTTTAGATTTTATTTATTCAAAAAAAAAAGATTTTATTTATTCATGAGAGACACACAGAGAGAGGCAGAGACATAGACAGAGGGAGAAGCAGGGCCCCTGTGGGGAGCCCGATGTGGGACTCGATCCCAGGACCCCGAGATCATGACCTGAGCCGAAAGCAGACGCTCAACCACTGAGCCACCCAGGTGCCCCAGTAAATAAAATCTTTTTTTAAATGTTTAAAATATTTTTAGAAAAAAGGAGTATAGGGAGAAGGCTAAAGGTGAAGCCATTAGAGTGGAAGGGCCATCCACAGTGAAGCATCCAGAAAGCTCAAATGTTCAACATGGAAATCTAGAGGATGTTTTGATAGGACAGGAGGAGGAACATGCCACGGGAGGTCTGAAGCATGTTTCCCAGGCAAGAGAAGAAAGTTGAATTGAAGACAAACACTAGCTTTTTATGCAACTCTAGGTGCCTTTGCAGCCTGACCCCCATACTAAATACATATTCCAAATAAAATATATCCTGTGGGATTATCTCATGGTAAACTCGGTGCCTGCATCGATCTCCTAGGGCTGCCATAACACATTACCACAAACTGTGTGGCTTAAAAAAACAGAAGTTTATTTTCTCACAGTTCTGGACCTCAGAAGCCCCAAATCCAGGGCTTGGCAGGGCCCCAGTCCCAAGCTTCCCTCTACGGAAGGATGCTTCGAGTGCCTCTTCTGGCTTCGAGTGGTTGCTGGCATCCCTTGGTTTGTGGCAGCATGACTCCAGTTCTGTCTCTGTCTTCAAATGGCCGTCTTCTCTGTGTGTGCCTCTGTCCAAATTTTTCCCTCCCTGGGACACCAGTCACTGGATTAGAATCCACCTAAATCCAGTATGACATCATCTTGATGACATCTGCAAATATCCTATTTCCAAATAAGGTCACATTCATGGGTTCTGGATAGACATGAGTTGGGTGAGGGACAAAATATGACCCAGCAGAGTGCCTGGGAGTAATCAGAATACTTTTTCATTGGTTGCTGTTTCCATTGACGATTTGTCGATTCAAATTTGGGAGCTCAGAATTGCTCAAAAGAAGTGAAGCTCCCCTCTCAAGGGAGTGGAGCTCATCATGTTATACGGTTTGTGTTATGCCCAAAGTAAAGTTATAGGGTTTTCTCCAGAGTCCATCAGAATGTTCTCAGAGGGAGCTCACTTCCCATCTTCTCAGCTGTCTAAGAGGGCCTGTACACCCACAGCGAAGCCCTGAAGGCTGTAAGGTCAGAGTGGGGGAAGAGGGGGCAGTAAGATACAGAGCCACGAAGAGCTCCTTTCCAGTCCTGATTTCCTGGCATTTTCAAGTCCTCTGTGTCTCTGGTCCCTTCCCTTTCTCATGGCATGGCCGGTTGGGCCTTCATCATCTTTATATCCTCATGAGTCTCAAATCTGTACCTTCACTGCAAACCCCTTCCTAAAGCTTTAGTATCACATCCTCAACTTCCTGTTGGGTGCTCTGTTTTGTATGACCCCATCACCTCAAACCTCACGGTGTCCCAAACCACAGTCAGTTTCCTCCCCTGACTTCCCTATTTCAAAGGATCTCTGAGGATGTTTGCCAACCCAAGGGTCCTCTTAGAAATCCAGCTCAACTCCTGTTTTGCAAAAAATGAGACACTCAGAAGACAGCACATCAAACCGGATTCTTCCCCATTCCCAGATTCCATACAAACCTTCCCAGTTCCCCCATCCCGCACCCAAACTATTCCCTCAGCCTAGAATACCTTCCTCTTCTCCACTTAGCTAGATGCTGCAGGGACTTCTAGTTCCAGTTACAGTCACACTATCCCCAACAAGAACTTTCTTAATGACTCCAAACAAAGTGCTCTCTTCCCCTTTGAGGCTTGTAGCCCTTGCCTGAGACATATAGTGTCTTATCTCGTGATTGTGTTCACACGCTTATAAACTTCCACCAGGAACCTAGCTTCATATATCACTGCTCTCATGCTGTGGCGGGCACCATGCTAAGTGTTTTACATATAATTACCTGCTTAATCTTTACAACAGTGCTATGTGGTAGGTATTAATATTATACCCATTTCAGGGAAGGAAACTACTAGGACTCAGGGAGGTTGAGTGATTTGCCCAACGTCACACAGGTAGTAACTCCAAGTCCCCATTCTTTTCTTTTTTTTTTTTTAATTCATGAGAGACACACAGAGAGAGGCAGAGACACAGGCAGAGGGAGAAGCAGGCTCCATGCAGGGAGCCCGACTTGGGACTTGATCCCAGGACTCCAGGATCACGCCCTGGGCCAAAGGTAGACGCTCAACCGCTGAGCCACCCAAGGATCCCCAAAATCCCCGTTCTTAACCATTATACTATGCCATCAAACCACCTTCTGTGGCTATTCTTCTTTAATCTCCAAAGGACCTGGCCCCAACTTCTCATTCCAAAGTTCTTCTAAGAACCTCAGGATTCCCCTCCCTGCGTGCTTGTAGATTCCTGGCTCTGACCTACTGTATCAGGTTGGGGTGGGTAGATTCTCAATGCACACTCATGTTTGAGAGTCACTGCCTGAACAAAACAGGCATTTGAGGGTTTAAATGGCTAAATGGGATCAGTTGACTCTGGCTCAGTTTGACGTTACCACACTGCCCAGTAAGGACACATGGAAGGCCCATTCGTGCAACACCATCACAGACTCACGGCTCCTGCCTGCTGTGGGTCATGGGATGCTGTGGGCCAGCCAGAAGCTCAGGTCGTGCCCGCCATTCCCCCTGTGCCTAGCTCGGGCTCCCCAGATGACTAAGTACTCATGCTCAGAAGATTCCTTATTTCACCAACCGCTTCTATCACTTTTCAAATATGACTAATCTGTATTAGCAAGGTGTGGCTTGCTGCATGGTTTGAATTACACTAATCATTTACTGAGCACTTACTATTGCTCATAACAACCCCACAACACCCCAGCTATTATTTAGAACTGTTTTACAGAGAAGGTAATAATTTGCCCAAGGTGGTGGCAAAGGTGCAGCTGGGAAATGTGGAGCCAGATTTGGAACTCAGATCTGCTGGGTATGGGAGACCACTTATCCATACCACCTCTCACAAGTTTAAAGGCAATCCAACACTTCCTGGGCACCTACCGGGCCCCTGGCACTGGGGCTAATTATTTAATAACTCATCTGATTAGTGACTTTAAGAACATATTTACATTTCCTGGTCCAAAGAATGGAAACGTGAATACAGTTGATCCCTTTGGCAGTAGTTCCAAATAAAGACATTAATAAGAGCTGCCCACCAGGCTTAAAGTAGAAATGCTCACACCCCGGCAGAGCTTCGCTGACACATTTAGACACCTCGCCTCCCCTCCCCAGTCACCCACTCATCAATCATCTTCCAACTGGCTAGCTTATCCTCAGAAAGGAACTTCTTTCTCACTCCCTCCTATCACCTTCCAGAGCAATAAAGTCATCCCCATCCTCTCCTCCTCCTTCCAAAAGTGAGTATTCTGGAATATCCTAATCCTGGGAGCACTTTAGACAAATTCAGCACATCTAAAATAGTTCAACCTGTCTCAGTGCCCCCAAAATAGCTTCCCACAGGGGTGGGAATTAGCACACGCGTTGGCCTTTTATTGTTTAACCTTTCTTTTCTACACTAAGGGTGGCTTTGCAGCTGCCCCTTATTGTCCACACGTGTGTCCTTGAGTCGGGTTTGTGGTTCCTTAGGTGTACTATTCCGAGTCAAATCTAATTTGTAGGAATTGTTCTCCGAAATCCAGGAATAAACTCCCTGACTATTTTCAGACAAAGATAGAGGTAGGAGTCTCTAAGAAATGAGCTAGGAAGGAGCTTAAAATACTTCACATTCCAGAAACACCCTCCCTTCCCCCCAGGAGATGGCTTTATTCCCACTCCTTTCTCAGCAGAGTTGGACGAGGAGGAGCTGAAGCTTGGAGACAGCCGGCTGGCACTAGCAGGTGTGGGCTTAGACAAATGATTTCAATGTCTCTAAGCTTCAGTTTGCTCATCTGCGAAATGGGGCCGATGCCACCCGGTTCTCTAGGTTATCAAGAGAATTTAAGATACGTAAAACGATTAACACCAGTACCCCTACCTAGGAGTCCCTACTATTTTACCGAGGGCCTAGGGATTCATCCCAGGCTAGGAAAGGGAGAGAAGTCCTACATGTTCATCTCTTGATAAATGGCTGGGGATGGGGATGACTTTATTGCTCTGGAAGGTGATAGGAGGGAGTGAGAAAGAAGAAGGAGGAGTATCCTGGGCGCAGAGTGACTAGCACTAGAAGAGGGAATTGGGAGTTTTCAGATTCCCAACAATGCATGTCTCTACACTAGGTTTGGTGACTGAGAGAGGTAGTGGGGATGGAGTGGAAAGCTTACCTGCGGGGAGACTGGGTTTGGGACTCTGATTTTGTTCTGGGACCTTGAGCAAAAATCCGCTCTGGTCCCCTGTGGCAGAGGTGGTGTACTTACACAGTGTGATGAGGCTTCCTCTGCCAACGTGAGGGCTTTAGGGTAGCTTTTGGACTCTACTCATCAGGCTCCCTGATGACAGAGGGAGAACAGGCAGGCGATACCAACCAGGTCTGAGCTGTAAGGAAGGATTGGCTGAGGCAAAGTGGCCTCCCTCCGCCATGATGCTCATGGCCTTTCCCAACAGCAACTGTTGGCCTGTCCCAATCCCGGAGGGGCTTCTCTGGCCTAACCAGGACTGACCCACCCAGCCCACAGACGTGGCCCAGTGACTGGTCACAGAACATTGGCTCCACTTCATCCCAATAAGTGGCCGGCACCATGGTCCCGAGGAGGGACGATTGCAACAGGCAGTTAAGTGCTGGAATTCCATGCTTACCTCCTCCACACACCCCATGCTAACAAAACAGGCTGGCATTACTAGGCCGTGATGAAGACCTGTGGCTGTGGAGACAGGCAAAAGGGGGTTTCAATCCCAACTCATTTACTAGTGGAGTAACTTTGGGCTGTTTTGTTTTCACTCTTAGAACCTCAGTCTCGGGGCACCTGGATGGTTCAGCATCTGCCTTTGGCTCAGGGCATGATCCTGGGGTCCTATGATGAAGCCCCATGTCAAGGTCCCTGCTCAGTAGGGAGTCTGCTTCTCCCTCTCCCCTTGCCCCTCCTCACTGCTATGCTCGCACTCTCTCTTTCTCTCTCTCAAATAAATAAATAAATAAAATCTAAAAAAAAAAAAAAAAAGAGGTCTACTACTTCATTAATACCTGCCAACCTCCTGTGTAGTAGTGTTTATCCCCATTTTATGACAAGGAAACTAGGGGTCAGAGAGGTAAAGCTAAAAGGCACAGAAGAAGTTAAGTAGTGGAACTGGGATTTCAAACCTTTTGAAGTACAAATTCAGCACTCTGTGCAATTCACAAAAGAATTTCATGTTCACCCAGTACACAACCTACATTGTTTAGACATGTCTGAAATGGCATTTCAGGAACCCAAAGTGGAATGACCTGGTTGGCAACATGGTTAGAAAAATGCAGCCCTCTGGATCACTGGTGGTTACCCTGAAATAGTTTTCCTTGGCTTAGGGGGACTTGGCATAAGGTGCCCCACTCTGACATGTTTGAGGAATCTTTTATTAGAAGTCCCAGAAGGCAACATTTTAAAATCAGGCAATTGATAATCACAACAAATTCAAAATTTCAGGTAAACTTGCCTTTCAAAATAAATCAGACTCTTGCAACACGAGAATTGCTCAAGAGTTTTTTTCTTGTACAAAAACAACACCACTTTGCAAAAGGCATACAAAAATACAGTATTAAAAAAAACCCCACAAATAAAACAAACCACTGCTCCCAATCTAAGACCCAACAGCCGCTTATAAAACACAAGCTATTCGGGTGATACATCAGTAACCTACATCCCACCTGTTCTCCAAAGACAGTTCCAGAAGTCAGTTGGCTCCCGAAAACCATACTCCAGAAGGTAGAGAGGTTTTTTCCAAACTTCCGCTGGGGTTCTCCGAGGCGAGGAAGCAACCTCAGAAACAGACCATTGTGCCTAAGTTTGGAAGTAGCAGCTGGCTCTCAGACCCCCCAAGAGTGCTCCACCATCCTCCCCTCCCCCACTTATAAAACCACAGCCAGTAGGCACCTGCTGCCCTGGGCAGAGTTCTGGAGGGGCTGATCTTTCTTCCAGGCCAGGCTTAGGGGCTGCTGAGCTTGGCCCATAGGACACCTGTTGGGTTGGATGCCTTTCCAGACTGGAGGCGGCACCTGGAATCCACTTGGAGGTACCAAGTTCACCTGGGGCAAAATCCATGGTCAGCTAAGCAGAGCTTCTGGAAGCTCTTTTAAAACCCACCAGGAAACCAGTCCACTTCTGGAGCCCTGGACGAGTCCCAGCAACTCTCCTAGCAAGAACTCCAGTAAGGCCCAGACTCTGGGAAAGAGATCTGACTCATGTCAGGCTGGCAAGGGGCCAGAGGGTGGCTGCAAAGCCAGCAAGCAAGCTCCTTGGAGTTGCCCTAGAAGGACAGCCTGCATGGTTCTAGTAGAACTTCAAACTTACCAGTCAGGGTCTGAGATGAGAGGGAAGTGGGGAAGAGGAAGTGGTATAGTTCTCCCTCTGAGGTGCCTGACATCTGCCTGGAGAAAAGATTCCAAACTGGAAAACACCTGGGCAGATAACAAGTTCACAGCCAGGACTCCAAGCCTTCCCCAGGCGGCAGGCTAGTAGGACCCATTTCCCAGTGTCTTGGGGAAATATTTCTGACCTTGGGAAAGGGGTGCTGGAGAGCCCATTGCATAACAAAGGCAGAAGGAAACAAAAAAGTCCCTTGTGAGGACAGAATGCTTTCTCCCTCAGAGAAAAGGGCCCAGAGGGCTTCACGAGACAAAGAATTTAGAGGTCAAGCTCTTTTAAATGTTCTCAAGGTCGCAGCATTGAGAGTGGGAGAAGGGGTGTTGGCTAACATCATTATATATATATTAAAGGTTTCCAACTCCTCAGCTACTGTAAAGTGTCTGTCAGTGAGGTAACGGTCCATGTTGATCAAGTCTGTGAGCTTGTCTTCACCCCAGATAGCTCGTGTGTCTCCTGGAAAGAAGAGCCTTAGGGAGGGTGTCCGGGCCCAGCTGTCCTAGCGTCACCCCAGAGACACCAGTGGGAGCATCCTTTCCCAGCCTCAAGCTCATCTGGAGTGTGAGATTTCATGCAGGCTGGAGCCCCCCGACAACGTCCACCACCTGTTGCATAGCATCTGTCAGGCTTTTCTTCCGAGCTAGTGAGCTAGGCCGACCCCAAGTCTCCTCGGTCAGCTGCCTGCCTGAGAAGCCAAAGGCGCCAGAGAAGACCCAGTGCTCCTGGGAGTCAGGGAGGAGGGAGAGCTGGGTTTCAGGGTTCCCAAGAACGCGAGCCCTGCCTGGGAGGGCATGCCCTGCCCCCTAAGGCTGCACCACCTTCTGGAATGTACAGTTCCGACTGTCCCTCCATAATCCAAATGTGCAAATTACTAAGGGGGAGAAGGAAGGTTAGAAAATAAACTCAGGTCTCTGTAAGACAGAGCAGTCAGGCTTTTTGGTCACCTAGTAGCCACTGAGGTAGGCAATTCTCTTCTGCAGTTGCTGCTGCCGGCATCGGAGCTGCCTTTTTTCCGTGGCCATCCTCTTCTCGGCCCCCACCAGGGCTTGCAAGTACTCCAAGGCCTTGCTCAGGATCACCACCTTGGGGGCCTTGGAGCAGCTGGCCAGGGTGGGGACCTGGTCCCTCAGGGCCAGGAACCTAGAACGGAGGTCGTTCCGCCTTTTGCGCTCCAGGAAGTTGTGGTTCTTCCTCTTGGTCACATCCTCGGTGTCAGAACTGCCAGCTTTGGGGTGGCAGGACTGGGGAGCCTCGCTTTCTACGGGGGGGCGACTCACGGTCTCTTCATCCGCTTCTTCTTCCTTTTCCTCTGGGGCGTCTCTCTCCAGAGCCTCTTCTTGGGGACCTCTCTCTGGAGCCCCCCCTTGGGAACAGCTTTCTGGAGGAAAGCGGGCGGCGTAGTTGTGCTGTTGCTGGTGGATGGAGATGTGGAAGTGCTTCATGCAGGGGTCCAAAGGGTCCGCCCGCACCGTGATGGTGACCGGCTTCCGTACACCCAGGGACTGTCTCTTCTCCACTGTCACGACGTCTATTTCTTCACCCTCTGTCCAAGAAGAGAGATCCAGAGAAGAAACACACCCCATGAGAAACACACACCCGCACCCGCACCCGCACACGCGCGCGCGCGCACACACACACACGCACCCTATGCTGGGGCTTAGGAAAGGAGATGGCATTCTGCTCATTTAGATATAAACAGATCCAAGTGAGGAGCAAGACAACGGATTCATTTGTAACGGGGTAAGGGCAGCGGGAAGGAAAGAAGGGGGAAGAAGCAAGAAGGAAAATATTCTCCAATTTCCTTTTGCACAGCAAGGCTTAGATAAGAACAAAAGGCAGACCCAAGCCAACAGCCCCCAGTCCGCCCAGGCGCTCCCCTCCCCCACGGAGGGGATGGAGAGAAAGAGCTACCGGCCTGGGACAAAGTTTAGCTGTAAAGATCTTCCCCCGTCAGGCTCTTTCATGCCCCATCAGAATTGTAAATGAGGGGTCTGTGGGCAGAGCTGCCCTTTGTTCCGGCCCAGCACAGTCTGCACTTGGGGAATTGTTACTTTTCACAAGTTATAAATCCTATTATTCCCCTACCTCTCTATTCTGCTATCCTTTCAGCTGAGGACTCCGAGAAGGGAGGGCTACAAGCCATCCCTCCTCACCCACGGGGGTGGGGGACGGGTCTCCCTCAGGAGCATTTTGCTCCTGGTTTCAATGGGTTTCTAGTCATCCATCATTTATAGGTCGCCTGCCCCACCCCCTTCCCTGGACCAGAAGGGGGTTGGATTTTGCAATCGCCTGTCTGCAAAAGCTGCTGGAACTTCACAAAGATACAAGCGACCATTTCCTAGCGACCTGTGCCGGGGGAGGCGGGGGGGGGGGGGCAGGGAACTGAGCAGCAACAGAACGTCTAGGTGCGAGGGCCAAGACACCAGGGGCCTGGGGACGCCTGGAAATGCCCCCCGTCATCCCCTGGCTCAAAGGTGTCTCAGGCTACTCAACCCCGGAGAGGGGCGGTTAGGGGAAAGCCTTCCTGCTTCGCACATATTGCAGCCCCCACATAGAAGGAGGCCACCCGAATGCATAGCGGCCTGACCACAGAAGCGCCCAGTTCTGGGCCTCTTTTGCATATCAGGATGGTTGAGCCCCTTTGTCAGGAAGGCTTCCATTGTGTGGACAATCGCATTATTTCTCCATTAATAAAACCTGACCATTCAGCCCTCCTGGCCACGAGGCCCGGGATTGGCTGGCTGAGCTGTGTTTGGAATGCCGTCTCACCCGGCCCCTGGCCCCCATTGGCTGAGCCCCGCCGTCAGTCACTCTCCCCGCCCCCCCTCTCATTGTTTGCAATCTGTTGCATTTTGTTCTGGGCCATGTGGCCTGTGAGTGAACCAGGAGCTTGTGAACAGGTTCAGGTTAAAGGGCAAGTCAGAAAATGATTCAGGAGGCTTCCCCACATCCCAAACCTTTTAATAGTTCAGTGTTAAAACCTCATAGCCCGTAAGGTTCTGCCTAAGGAAGCAATAACGGAAGATACCATTCTTTTCAGAGATGGTCTAATTCTACCTAGACAAGGAAATGGCCTCAGCTGGATAATCAAGTTCAACCCTCCAGTGTGCAGAAGGGGAAACTGAGATCCAGATCAGCCATGTCCGCATATCACCTTTGTAATGTTCTGGATCTCAAACTAAAGATCTCCAAACTCCCCCAAACAATGCTCTTTGCACTCTACCACTCCACCAAGCTTTTGTAGAGATACATCTTTATTGGTTTCTTGATCTCAAAACTCCCGTTGCAGCCATTAAACAAACACAAGCTCTTGGTGTTGAAAGCAGGCAGGTTAAAAATGACCTTAACACAGTGGACCGAAAAAATTGACTTTTAATTTCTTGTTGTCCTTATTTTTCCCCTCAAGTGTATAACAACTTACATACCCACTCCCCAGTTCCCTCTCAAACTGGTCACGTAAAAGTCATTCTTAAAAGCTACGGTGAGTTTTCTAGGTCCTGATTTACCTGATGCTAGTCAGTGGCACTCTATTAAAGCACCCTCTCCGGTCTCTCTCATGGGTAGAGATTTAAGAGGCTAGGCTAAGAACGACATAGTTTGGTGGCACAGGATGCTCAAAGTCCGCCCTTAGGTTTAAATTTGCATCCAAGGGTGGAGGAGGAGGCTGGAGTTTCAGATCTGGGACCCCAGCACCTGGCTCAGAGCTTGGTACCAAGCAGGGGCCAGTGAACATTTGTTGAATGCAAGGAAGCAGCTACACAGAACCACAGGTCAAATTAGGAAGGTACTGGAGGTTGCTCTTCCCACTCGGGCCAAAGCAACAAAGCAAGATGTAGCCCTTTTCGGATAAGCTACCATGAAGACCCTGGAAACATCGAGGAAATGCCTGGTTGCAAATGGACCCTTGGGCCAAAGAAGATGGGGCTCACTTCTGGTGATTTCCCGTTTCTAAGCCTCAGTTTTTCCAGCTGTTAATGGGGAGCGTTCCTTGCTCTGCTGCCTGTCTGGTGGGTGATTGTGTGGGGCACTAGTGGTAAAGGGTGGGAGGTGCAAGTGTGTGTGTGTGGGGGGCATTATTGTCATTTTAAAGTAAAGCAGACAGGAAACTAGATTTTTCAGAGGGCGAAGGCTCTGGTTTTGCACAAAAGGCTCCTCAGCTTCCTCTCTTCCTGGGGGAGTGTGAGCTTCCCCAGGGAAAGTGGCAGCAACAAAAAACTTCAAGCTTGGAATGCCCCTTAAGGGACCCCTTCCAGCCTCCGAAGGCCAGAAATCCCCTACAGTCCAATCCTAGGATCGTCCTCTCTAAGCGCTAAGCCTCACCCGGTCTCCCTTGTCCCCTGGGGCTCCGATCATCATCCAAAGGACGCAGGCTCCCACGCCACTTCTTCAAACTGTTTACTAACACACCCACGTGCCAGACAGACACCGCTGGGGGCTACACCGGCAGCTTCAGCCAGAGAAAGGGGGAAGTGGCCGAAGGGCTTGCGAAGACCCAATGCCAGACCTCAGACAGCGGCAGAGTTTTGGCCACCCTTGGGGTGCCCCCCTCTTGGATGGCCCGGGGCGGTCCTTACCCGAGTCGCTTGGGCTCTCGGACCCCGAGCAGGCCTGGGTCTTGGGCTCGCCCAGTGGGCAGGGGGCTGCGGGAGCCGGGTTGCCGGCTTCGAGGCTGGGAGCGCAGTCCGGGGCGGCGGGCGCCTTGGGCGGGTTCCCCCGGGGGGCGCCGGCGGCGAGCCGGTCGCTCACCGCTCTCTCCAGCCGCTCCCGGGCGGAGAAGCCGCTCCACATGCAGTCACGACGGATGATGGAGGCGTAGTTCCTGCCCCAAGCCTTCGAATGGCCCCGGGACTCCGCCTCTTCCCCGGCGCCCCCTCCGGGCCACGGCTCCGGGGGACCAACGCCAGGGGCTGCGTCCCCGGCGCCTGGACCCGAGCCCCAGGGCGGCGACGTGGGGGGCGACGGCACCAGCTCGAATTTCTTCCAGATGTCCTCACTGGGCGCCGTGGAGCGGTAGAAATCCTCCCCGCAGTCATAGTCGTAGAAATAGTGCTGGTACGAGTCGAAGTCCATGTCCGCTCCCTGCGGGAGGGAAGGGGGACCGGCTGACGGGGGTGCGGGCCGGCCCGGGAGGCGCCCCCGGGTCCCCCGGCACGGCCGGCCGCGCTCTCGTGCCTCCCCGACCTCCCGGCGGGCAGCCCGCGCCCTTCCCTCGCGTCCGGGGCGGCGTGCCCGGGGCAGCGGCTCGCGGCGCGCGGACGGGGCTGCGGGGAGCGAGTTCAAAGCAAACTTTGCCAGCGCCGCCCGGAGCGCAGCTCCCAGGGCCCGGCCGGGCCGGGCGGGGGCGCTCGGAGCCCGGGACGCAGCCCGCAGCCCGCCCCGGGGCCGCCCGTGGCCTCACCTCGCTCCCGCCACCTGGAGCGGACCGGCTCCCCGCCGGCTCGGGGCAGCCCGGCAGCCCGCACTCAGGCACATGCGCGCCCCCGAGCGCGCGGCCCGCACCCAAGAGCGCGCCCCCCCACCCCGCGCGCCCCCGCCCTCGCCCGCGCACCGCGGCCCGGACGCTCCCGGGATCGGCGCGGGAGCGCGAGATGCAGGCGCATTGTTTCCGGCCGCCTTATATCTGGTCGTGCGCCGCGGGCTCGGGAGCGGGGGCGGGGCCTACGGGACAGGTCACGCCCCCGGCCCGCCCCCGCCACGCCCCCCGCCAGACCCGCGCCCGACAGGTGGGGGCGGTCGAGGGTCCGTCCCGCCGGCTGCTCGGTTCCCTGGACCCCCCGCCCAGAGGGGGTGCACGCTGGGTGGCGCGGGGCAGGCCGCGAGCTGACACAGTTCAGGGTCGTCTAGCGAAGGCGTGACTCTTAGCTGGGCCGGGGCGGTCCCAGCACGCAACCTAAAACCGCACCCTTTGCCCACCCGGGGCTGGGGAATGGGGCTACTCCCTGCCCCGCCCCTCGAGCCCGTGGGCGGGCTTATTTCAGGTGCTCCTGCAGGGCGGTCTGCGTGAAGGTGGGGGGCCCGGTGCACCTCCACCGCGCCATCTGGCGGCCCGCCGCCCTGACCTGGCGCTGGTCCCGGGTATCCATCCTCTTTATCACCTGTTGGCCCGTTTCTTCACTGCGGTTGGTGCAAACCCGGACCTCGGAGAAGCGAGGTAGGAAGATGCTGGACTTCGGAGCGTCAGATTTAACCTTCCTGAACTTCAGTTTCCTCTATAAAATAAAGGGATGGTAATACTTACCTTTTAGGGTTGTTGCGAGCATTTCTTTAACAAGATAGCGAAGGTACTAGGCCAGGAAGAGAGGCAAGTAAAACAAACTTAGCCCCTGGTGTGCTGGTGGTAAGGAGAATTTTTCCCCGGAATCTACGTGTGGGCTACTCTCCCTTCCCTCACACCACACACACACAAAATAGCTCTGTAGGAACTGTAGTACTAGAGGAAAGAAAATGGGGTTTGGAGTCAAGAAACTTCATTGCAGCCTTCGTTTTGCTATTTGCTAGCTATAGGGCCAAGTCGCCCGAAGCCTCTGTTTGCTTATCTGTAAAATGGGACCATTGCTTGCAGTTGCATGTGTGGCCAAGATAATGGACATAGAAGCCCTTTGTGTCATCCATCTTCTATGTCTTCAGTGGGAGAAGAAAAGCCAAAATATATGGTCATTCTGTTTAGGCCAAGTAAAGTAATTCGGGATAGCAGCCAATACATATAGAATGTTCTACATGGCATTCAAAGTCTGGTCGCTGTCTATAGTCAGCAACCAGATTGCCTGCTCTCTTTTCCTCCCACTCCTGTGGTCTAAGAACACCCAAGTACTCACTGTTGGCATCCAGGCAGAGGGAAATGAGAAGTGCAAGCGGTTCATTGTGGTTGGAGCATCCAAAAGTGTGAGTTGGGAGAAAAGGCAGGGAGGATGACACCATCAGTCTTGAATATATTGGGTCTAAAATGCATGTGGGACATCTTTGAAGGCAGCAAGTCGTTCTCACTAGCTTCGGAACCTCGGTGCCTAGAACAGCTTCTGGCATATATTTGTGGACTCAGTGAGTGATTCAGCCAACCAGAATTTACTGAGACAGGCTGTGTGCTCTGCTTTGTGCTGAATGAAGGTGCAGGTCAGAAAGGTTCTAGGTTTGGTTGCAGTCCTAAAGCAGAAGGCTTGGAACTGCCTTTTGGTAACTTGCTCTCTGGTCCACAGATGTCTGAGATGGTTGCAGTACCAGTCAGGATGCTCGGTTATACATGACAGAAACCAACCCTAGATAAATTTAAGCATGAAATAACATTATTGGAAGGATTTGGGATATAGAAACCACAGGGGGCTGGGATTCTATGCTTGGAAAATTGATCTTTCTTCTCTTTTTAGATGAGAGTTCTTACTCAACAGCCATTCCCCATGATTCATTTTTTTTTAGACTTTAAGACTTTTATTTTTTCCTAAGATGTTATCTATTTATTCATGAGAGACACAGAAGAGAGAGAGAGAAGCAGACACAGGCAGAGGGAGAAGCAGGCTCCATGCAAGGAGCCTGATATGGGACTCGATCCTGGATCCTGGGATCATGCCCTGAGCCAAAGGCAGATGCTCACCCACTGAGCGTCCCTCCATGATTCACTGTAGTTGGTGATATCTAGGGGCACCCACGAGGTGACCCCACCTCAAGAATTAAGATAAAGGAAATTGTCTCTGAGAGTTGGGTTGCTCCTTCACTTTGCACACTTCTTTTATGGAGGGAGGAATCAAACCATTTTATTGAGGGTCTTTGGGGAAATGTCGAAGGGAAGGAGGACAAGGAGATCCGATGTCCCCAGCCCAGCTGAGATCTCACCTTTCCAGCTTCATGGTGGCTGAAAGATGTACACTTTGGTTAATGTCTGTCTTCCTTACTAGACTTTAAGCTTAATGAGGGCAAGGACAAATGTCAGTCTTATTGACCACTGTAACTCCAGGGCTTAGAGCCTAGCACATCATGGGTGCTTTATAAAGGTGTTGCCTGTTTGACTGGATATAAGCTTCTAATGCTGTGAGGTAGAGATGTGCCAACCTACCTGATGGAGAGAGAGTAACTGTCAGGCCCAGTCTAGACTGTAACCTGAATAAAAGGTACTGTTTTTTTAAAGACTTTATTTATTTATTTGACAGAGAGAGGGAGAGCAAGCACAAGCAGATGGAGTGGCAGACGGAGAGGGAGAAGCAGACTCCCCGCTGAGCAGGGAGCCCGACATGGGGCTTGATCCCAGGACCCTGGGATCATTGACCTGAGCCAAAGGCAGACACTTAACCAACTGAGCCACCCAGGCACCTCGAAGGTGTTTTTAAAAATATTTTATTTATTTGAAAGAGAGAGCGAGCAAGCCGGAGTGGGGGCATTGACAGAGGGAGAGGGAGAAACAGACTCTCCACTGAGCATAGAGCCCAATATGGGGCTTGATACGGGGGGTTTCCATCCAGAACCCCAAGATCATGACGTGGGCTAAAGGCAGACTCTTAATCGATTGAGCCACCCAGGCGCCTCCTGAGTAAAGGTATTAAAGCAGCTGAAGAAAGAAGGTGCCAGTGAGGAGCAGTCTGGATAGTCAATGAAGCAGAGAGCAATGAGTTGTCAAGGCAATCACCACAGTGTCTATCTGGGGACAAAGATACTGGTCCAGGAACAAGGGAGATGGAGGCCTCATTCTTTGAAATCTTACCCAGTTCACCTGGGTACCCCACCTCACTTGTGCTTTGGATCACCAAGCAACCTGCTAAAAATCACTCTATTCCCTATGTAGATCCACCCACTGGGAGAGAATGCACTCACCAGTGAACAAGAAGATCTATCTAGTTGGCTTCAAAGCCCTGCTTCCCCTTATAAATTAATGAATTGGCATCTGATTTGAAATATTTGTCTCATGAGCCTGGTTAATGTGTGTCTGTTCCATAGAGATGCTGCTGCTTTTAGAGCTAACAGCTTTGTTTTCTGAGGTGATATCTGGACCCGGGCTGGTGATATGAATTCTCCAAGATAACAAATGCTACCCTAGGGACATTCAATTTTTTACTTTATTTTTCTTAAAACATTTTATTTTTTTAATTTTTATTTATTTATGATAGTCACACACACACACACACACACACACACACACACACACAGAGAGAGAGAGAGAGGCAGAGGGAGAAGCAGGCTCCATGCACCGGGAGCCCGATGTGGGATTTGATCCCGGGTCTCCAGGATCGCGCCCTGGCCCAAAGGCAGGCGCCAAACCGCTGCGCCACCCAGGGATCCCTCTTAAAACATTTTAAATCAAACTAGTACGTGTACACGGTCTTAAAAAAATCAAATAGGTGGGTGATAAGGTTAAAAAAAAAAAGGCAGTCTTCTGCCCTGCCCTCATCACCCCTGATTTGCAGTCTCCAAAGGCAACTACTCTTTTAGCTGTTTTTTATTCCTAATATTTACTTCCATATTTCGACCAATATGATCTATTTTTTCCTGATTTTTAAATTCCTATTGACATTCAACAATAGAAGATGTAGCTCTTGTATTTCCCTTCCCACCTCCACATACTTGGCCTTCCCTTATTCTCCAGTTAGATTTTTAAATATTAAATATTTACAGTATTTTGACTATGTGACTATGGAGCACCTATGACTACATTTCCTTTCTTGCACATTTTTTTTCAGAGTTAAATTGTTTCATTTTTTTCTTTTGTGCAGATTTCTCTTTACATATTATGAATTCGACCCTACACATTTTTTACTTGAGCTACAAAGATCACTTCATGTGGTCAAACCCATCCAGTAATCAATCTATCAGTTCCATTTTTTTCTTGGAAACTTACCTCTTAGAACCCTTTAGCTTCCTGTTCTAATCTGAATTTATTGGTTGAGTCTAGGCCTACTTCACAATTTTTATTCAGCAACTTCCCTTCACCATTATCCTGGAAATCCCCTTTGCTTCTCTCCTGTGTTGGCTCCCCTGTTTTCTGGTACTCATTGCTTTTTCTTTTTCTTTTTTTTTTTAATTTTTATTTATTTATGATAGTCACAGAGAGAGAGAGAGAGAGAGAGAGAGAGAGAGAGAGAGATGCAGAGACCTAGGCAGAGGGAGAAGCAGGCTCCATGCACCGGGAGCCCGACGTGGGATTCGATCCCAGGTCTTCAGGATCGCGCCCTGGGCCAAAGGCAGGTGCTAAACCACTGCGCCACCCAGGGATCCCTGCTTTTTCTTTCTTGATTTACTTCCTCACATTGTTGGAACACACCCTACTGCAGCTGCCTGAGAAAAGGTCCTTGGGAAGTAAAATTTTTGAGACTTTGCATTTCTGAAATTGTCTTCACTATACCTTCATCTTTGGTTTTAATAGTATGGTTGGGTATAGAATACCAAACTAGAAATAATTTTCCCTCAAAAATTTAAATGTACTGCTTTCCTGTTTCTTAGCAACCAGTGTTGCCATCGAGGTTGAGATCATTCGAAATTTATTTATTTTTACATAATTTCTACACGCAATGTGGGACTCGAACTCACAAACCCAAGATCAAGAATCACATACATGCTCTTCTGACTGAGCCACTAGGCACCCAAGGTTGATATCATTTGAAATGTAAACTTTTACAGATGGCTTGTTTCTCTCTCTGGAGGCTTTTAGGGTACACTCTTCGTCTCTGACAGTCTAAATTTTTTCACTGATATGCCTTGGTGTGGGTCTGTCATATAATAAACCAGTTGATTGGCCCTTGTCTCCAGTCCCTGGAAAGTAGCCTCTAAATCCTTGGAATTTGCCAAGCAATAGGATTTTGTTTATTATTCATAATGGGCCCTGATAGTTTTTGCTAATGGATTACTCATGGTGGGCCTCCAGATAGTTTAAGATATGTTAAATTAGATAAGTTGGATAGCCAGATAGTTAAGAGACCCAAGATAGTAACTGACAAGCAAGAAAGGCCAACCATGTAATTAAAGGGTTGGGGCTTTGGGTCAAGTGATATCGGTCTGACCTCTGGGAAGGGGAAAGGGGGCTGGAGACCAAGTTCAATCACATTCAACCAGTCTTATTTACCTAATGGAAGCCCAATAAAAACTAGACACTGAAGTTCAGGTGAACTTTCCTGGTTAACAATGCTTTGTATATGTTATTACACACACATACATTGGGAGGGTGATTCATTCTGACTCCACAGGAAGAACACATTGGAAGTTTCACATTGGGACCCTCCAAGACCTTGTCTCTTCTTTTTGCTAGTCCTGATTTGTATCCTGTTGCTACAATAAATCTATAACCATTAGTATACCATTTTCCTAAGATCTATGAGTTGTTCTAGTGAGTTATCAAACCTGAAATGGTAGTGGGAACCCATAAATTTGTAGCCAGTTGCTCACGAGTGTTGGTGGCCTGGGAAACCCTGAGCTTGCAGCTGCTGTCTCAAATGAGGGCAGTCTTATGGAGAACCCTGCCTGTGAAGTTTGGCCTAACTCTGAAAGTTAGTGTCAGAATTGCATTGCAGGATCTTTTTGCATTTTTTGCCATAAGCTTTTTAATCTGAAAACCCATTTGCTCTGTAATTACATATATTTTTTCTATAATTATATATATATAACATATATAATTATATATAATTTATAGTATATATTTATATATTTTATTACATATAATATATATTTAATTATATATATATATATATTTAGATTTAGATTTCATTTATTTATTTGACAGAAAGACAGAGAGCACGAGCAGGGTGAGCAGCAGACAGAGGGAGAGGAAGAAGCAGGCTCCCTGTGGAGCAGGAAGCCCTATGCAGGGCTTGATCCCAGGGCGCCAGGATTAAGAACTGAGCCAAAGGCAGATGCTCAACTGACTGAGCCACCCAGGCACCTCTTTAATTATATTTTTGAAAAATTTCCCCCTTCCACTTTTTCCTTCTCTTTCTGAAACTCCTGCTAGCGTTTTCTGATCTTGTCTCTCATTTCAATCTCTGTGTGTTTCATTTCACCTTTTGGGAGATTTCCTAAACTTCCAATCCTTCTATTGATTTAAAAAAAAAAAAACTTGATGTCATGCCTGGGTGGCTCAACTTGATGTCATGCCTGGGTGGCTCAGTGGTTGAGCGTCTGCCTTTAGATCAGGGCGTGATCCTAGAGTCCCAGGATCTAGTCTCACATTGGGCTCCCTGCATGGAGCCTGCTTCTCCCTCTGCCTGTGTCTCTGCCTCTCTCTCTCTTTCTCTCTGCCTCTCATGAATAAATAAATAAAAACTTAAATAAATAAATAAAATCT